GCTCCCAGCACGCTGCTCGTGGCGTCAGTGTTGCTCCCAGCACGCTGCTCGTGGCGTCAGTGTTGCTCCCAGCACGCTGCTCGTGGCGTCAGTGTTGCTCCCAGCACGCTGCTCGCTGGCGCATTGCCCACGCACGCGACGGTGTGCCAAAACCTCAAAAAAACATTTGTCTCACAAACGTTCGTAGTAGGAGAAATCTTAAACATTTTGTCCTGACAAACGTTTGTAGTAGGAGAAATCTCAAACATTTGTCCTGACAAACGTTCGTAGTAGGAAAAATCTCAAACATTTGTCCTGACAAACGTTCGTAGTAGGAAAAATCTCAAACATTTGTCTTACAAACGTTCGCAGTAGGAGAAATCTCAAACATTTTGTCCTGACAAACGTTCGTAGTAGGAGAAATCTCAAACATTTGTCTCACAAACGTTCGTAGTAGGAGAAATCTCAAACATTTGTCTCACAAACGTTCGTAGTAGGAGAAATCTCAAACATTTGTCCTCACAAACGTTCGTAGTAGGAGAAATCTCAAACATTTTGTCCTGAAAAACGTTCGTAGTAGGAGAAATCTCAAACATTTGTCCTGACAAACGTTCGTAGTAGGGGAAATCTCAAACATTTTGTCCTCACAAACGTTCGTAGTAGGGGAAATTCATCGAGGTGGATCATTAACAATTGTGTATGTTGGACGAACGTGCCATGCAATGGTCGACCCTGAGCTCTACACTGTTAGCCTGTGTGTCAAAAGCTGAATTTTAAAATGAAATAAAATCACATATGGTTAATATAGTTAATAAAATGTTGTAATACTTTGAGAGGATTAGAAATTGCTTATTTCTAATCCTCCTAATTAATCCTAATCTAATTCTAATCCTAATCTAATCCTCTAATAATTTTATCGTCAAAATTACTGACTCGGTTTTAATTAATTAGCTGAAGCTGACGGGACTCAGGCTTATTCATTCATTATTTTTTTGAGATTGAGTAAGAAATACTCGTACTTCAGAACTCTTTTGAAAATAGCGTTTGTTTGCTTAACAGTAAAAATGAGCGATTAAAACTGTTCGCACATTTTGTGTATAAATCAACAAATTCTGCCATCTCAAACTAATATTTATCTGAGTAGATGAAACGTAAACTTATCGATGACATTTTCTTATTCGTCGCATTCCATGTAGGCATTATACCAGAGATTTGGCGCTTAAAATAATACTAATAATATTATTAATAAATAAATAATAATAATATTATTAAAATTTGGCGCTTAATAAAAAACGTCCCCTATTTTTATCCCCAAAAAGTCATATAAATTTCTATAACGCAACAAATTAGCTTAAAATAATACTAATAATATTATTAATAAATAAATAATAATAATATTATTAAAATTTGGCGCTTAATAAAAAACGTCCCCTATTTTTATCCCAAAAAAGTCATATAAATTTCTGTAACGTAACAAATTATTCTTCAGATCGTGGCAAGAAGAAAACAACGAATACTCTGGCGACAGTCGCTTGTCACCTCCCGAGCAAGTGCGTCTTGACACCAACTTCCTTGTGACGAGCATGTCGTTCGGCACGAGCACTCCACAGCAGGAGCTTGAAGCCTCCACCAGGAGGGCGTACTACACTAGAGTCACCTGCACCAGGCACCTCATGCTCGCGACCGGCCACAACAAAGGGCGCATCAGGATATGGGATCCACACACTGGTGGGTCATGATAATGGGGCAGGGGCTTTATTATTATTATTATTATTATTTTTAGAGCATTTTCTCAGTTATGGAAAAAATGCACTATTGTACTCGCCATGTCCGTCCGTCCGTCTGTCCGTGACCTCAAGTTTTCGTCGACGAGAAAATGCGCTCTCTGTCACTCACTGCAGTGAATACTGAGTTATATTTTTTATGGTATCTTATTATTGCCCAGCCCCTCTCGTGCAATTAAATATGATGAATTAATTTTTTTTGTAAAGTTCACTAGTCCAAAAACGATGATATCATGATTTATGTTTAATGAACCTGATGATTGCTTTAAAAGATGCTGATTCATGATGGAATGAACGTGAGACTAGAGTCTCGTCTAGTAACATTGTTGCCGGCGCAATGGAATGGGTAAGTCGGGTCCTTTGGTCTCTGGCGACAATTTAGGTGGAATGAAAATAGACTTCTGGGCCCATACTTTCAAAACTCGCTAAGTGAACGTAAGTACTTACGCTCTATTTTCTTATCTATGATTGGTGGATTTTGCTTGAAAGGCCGTCAATGATTGGCTGATGAACTTACGATCTCTTAACTTGTTTTGAAGGTATAGGCCCTGGATTTGCATATATTGCTCAAGCACAGAGTAGCGTTACAGATGCAAATGTTGGATGAATAAAGTTCGACTAGACATAGGAATGGTTTAACCAGATATTGTTAGCGTGAGAGAGGTCTTTGAGCGAGGCAATTGCAGTCGTCAGAGCATGGGACGTCAATCTGCCTGCTGCTTATATTTCTTACAAATTTCCGGTACACCATCACATGCACGAATAGTTTGATTATTGACGTTTCCGATGTGCTTGAAAATATAAAGAGCTACTTAAAAACTAAAATAAAACATCCTTCGAGTCACCGACATGTGGAACAGCCTCCCTGATAACATCGTTGAAGCTCCGAGTATGAACATCTTCAAAAACAGACTAGACGAAGCTATGCAGGAGCACATGTTCAGTCTTAAAATGTCTAGCAAATTACGGAGCAGGCAATAAGTCCAGCAGCTATCTCAATCAATCGTCAGCTATGGAAAGATCGGGTTCCAAAGGCCGGATCCCTTGTGAATCAAAGCACGAAAAGTTCAAGAATCGGCAACAGGCCATGGGCCTATTTCTTCAACGCCGACACTTCTATTCTATTCTATATGAAATAAATGAAACATTCAATAACAGATTTGGTTTGCGATGAAAAATACTGGAATAACTGCCCGGCCATGACATCGTATGAATATCAATTGTTGACAAATCACAGATCAGCATTCCGCTTCCGCAAAGGTTTGAGATTGACTACCAATGATTAAGGATCCTCGCAGATGGACATATTTGTAGGACACATAACATGTTTTTAAACATCTACTTCTTGGGCATACTTAGTGATTGAAAAATAATAAAAAAATAGAGGCATACCGAGCAAGTTTGAGCGCTTGTCTTGATCCCATGTGGTTGAACCTGATTCTTGATGATGATTCGGAAAATTTGATCCCGCCTTAAACGAACTCTTCTCCTCGTTAATTTATTATTCTAACATGCCTTTATTTATATTCTTATCGACGACGCTATTAATAATGTGGATGTACCCGTTCCAAACCAATACTACATACATAGAATAAAAATGAATATGGCCTGTAGTTTATACATGATGCTGTTGAAATTTTAAATAAAAGAAGACAAATGCCATTGTTAATTTATTATTCTAACATGCCTTTATTTATATTTGCATAGAAGACGCTATTAATAACGTGGTAGTACCCGTTTCAAACCAATACTACATAGAATAAAAATAAATATGGCCTGTAGTTTATACATGATACTGTCTAAATTTTAAATAAAAGAAGACAAATGCCAGAATGTGTGGATTTGATCATTGCAGTCTCTTTCACATCCATTGCATTATTTTCCATGTTTTTTTATCATTGCACTGTTGCTGACATGTTAATGGGATGCAGGAAGCCTGATATTTTTCATGTTTTTTTTTGCCATTGCACTGTTGCTGACATGTTAATGGGATGCAGGAAGCCTGATATTTTTCATGTTTTTTTATCATTGCACTATTGCTGACATGTTAATGGGATGCAGGAAGCCTGATATTTTTCATGTTTTTTTGTCATTGCGCTATTGCTGACATGTTGATTTTACAGGAAGCCTGATGCTGGACCTCACCGACCACACCAAGGCTGTGACATGCTTGGCTTTTGCGCCCGACGGCAGCTTGCGGCTCGCCTCAGGCTCTGAGGACGGTACCGTCAAGGTGGGCACCAGGGACCTGGGCCTATACTTTCAAAAAAGTTAAGAGATCGTAAGTTCATCAGCCAATAAGTATAGGCCTAGGGACCTATACTTTCAAAAAAAGTTAAGAGATCGTAAGTTCATCAGCACCGCTACCGCTACCGCTACATGCTCTAAATGTAGCGGCCGCTACCGCTACCGCTACATGCTCTAAATGTAGCGGCCGCTACCGCTACCGCTACATGCTCTAAATGTAGCGGGCGCAACCGCTACAATTGCTCAAATGTAACGCCGCTACCGCTACTGAAAATGTAGCGGCTACTAGTAGCGGCCGCTACATGTAGCGCGCTACTGCCCATCTCTGCCAGGGACCAACTTGGTTGTTGTAGACGGTTGACTTCAGGCCGCAGTGTCGACTTGGTTGTTGTAGACGGTTGACTTCAGGCCGCAGTGTCGACTTGGTTGTTGTAGACGGTTGACTTCAGGCCGCAGTGTTGACTTGGTTGTTGTAGACGGTTGACTTCAGGCCGCAGTGTCGACTTGGATGATTGGTGTAGACGGTTATTTATAATTTGAAGGGCAGAATGGTTATGCAATACATCTATTAAATTTGGTTTAAATTGAGGCTGAAAATATGACTGAATTACTCTTTAATGAATGAATTTATTAACCGCGACATGCTTGTAATTTGTTCCTTGCTGATCGATTGATTAACGTGCAGTGAGAGCTTCACTATTGATACAACACATGGCCGAGTTTTCTATTGCATGTTGTGTTGGTGCAGGTATGGGACATGACAGACGACGGCAACATGTTCAAGACTCTGCGCGACCATAAGCGTCCTGTTAGAAACCTCGCCTGGTCTCCCAACTCCAGTCTGCTCTGCACCACAGGCGACAAACAGAAGGTACTTTATTCTTCTGTTCGCTCACCAGTCATCGCAGTTATCTGTACACTCTTGTCTAGGTATAGAATAGAAGTGTCGGCACTGAAGAAATAGGCCCATGGCCTGTTGCCGATTCTTGAACTTTTCGTGGCTTGATTCACAAGGGATCCGGCCTTTGGAACCCGATCTTTCCATAACTGACGATTGATTGAGATAGCTGCTGGACTTATTGCCTGGTCCGTAATTTGCTAAGCATTTTAAGACTGAACATATGCTCCTGCATAGCTTCGTCTAGTCTGTTTTTGAAGGTATTGTCCTTGAAGTTGTTAATTATTCATAACATTATTCGCTGTCGTGGGTATTTCTTAGCTTGCATTCAACACAGAGACTGTACAAGCTGTTCGTTAAAGGAGATGGACGTCGAATCTCCGCTACAATCAAAAATTAACAACCTCGCGTGCAGTCGATCGTCATCAATCTTTACGTCTACGTTGTATGTCACAATCCATAAATATCGAAGCAAACTAGCGCTGTAGGACACTAACTTCTTTATTGTGTACAGGCGTTACCCATTGCCATGTTAGACAGCTAATTGCACACATTCGTATATGCTGTCAAAGTTGTTATAACAATGATTGAACCATCATAATTGCATAGCGTGCAGGCAAAATGCAAAAGCACAATATTGATCATAATAATGCATTATACTGATGATGGGTGGCTGTGATGAGCTGCCAGGCGGTAGAGAGCTGGAGAACATTGAGTTTGGACCGGAAGACATGGAAATAAGTATCAAAGAATTGGCGACGTTTTCAGCACCAGGACCCGACGGAATTCCGGCAGTGCTGTTGAAGAAGTGTGTTGGAGCACTGAAGGCTCCGCTCACAATGCTCTGGAAAGCCTCGATAACAGAGNGATGATAAACGGACTGGCTCCCAACTTTGAGAGTGAGACCTCCAAATTAACGACATATTACAACGAAAGAAGGGGGAGACTGTGCAGGATTCCTCCATTTAATTACCGAGCCGCGGCCAGAGTACGGACTCTTCGTGAGGGATCACTGTCCGTGGTAGGACCGAGGCTCTTTAATGCCTTGCCAAAAGCGCTGAGAGGAGGGGAGTTCACCCTTGCAACATTCAAGAGACGACTGGACAAGTGGTTGAGAAAGATCCCGGACTGTCCAGTAATGGGAAACTACCCTCAGCAAGTGACAAGCAACAGCATCTTGCATCAGCTGGCCCAAATGAGGGCAAATAGACGGAACACGTCCAACGTTACATCCGACGACGACTCGGAGACGGAGGACGACGAAGGCGGCGCATCAGCGTGACCTTGGACTACGACGTCCTAAACTCATCATAAGGTCATAAGGTCATAAGGTCTGTGTGGTGCAGTGGTGAGAGACTCTGTCTCTTGCACCCAGCGCCCGGGTTCGAGTCCCACTGAGGACAAGTTCTTCCGGGAAGCTCAGCTCATGGTCAACTCAGCCATTCATCCAACTCTGGTTGATAAATGAGTACCTGGCTTGTCCAGGGTGTTGTGTAATGCAACTAAATGGTTCTGGCGGGTCAGCGAGTCAGTGATGGTCGTGGAACTACCAGTGGCACCGAGTGCCCGGAAAAACTGACCTATCACCCCCCCTCCCTAGTCGCCACTGCCAGGATGGGCTATTACAACAACAACATACTGATGATGGTACCCGAGCTATGATGAGAAGAGTATATAATTGTGTGATGTGCAGGCGCTGCTATGGAGCACCGTGGACTAGCACATTATTGATCATAATAATGCATTATTCTGATGATGGTACCCGAGCTATGATGAGAAGAGTATATAATTGTGTGATGTGCAGGCGCTGCTATGGAGCACCGTGGACTACACGCTGCTGTGCCGCCTCTGTGGCCACTACAACGACGTCCTGTCCTGTAGCTTCTCTCCTGATGGCGCCACAGTGGCGACCGCGTCCTCTGACACCAGGGTGCTGGTGTGGGACACGTGTACGGGTGAGTGGGACACCAGGGTGCTGGTGTGGGACACGTGTACGGGTGAGTGGGGTAGCAGGGTGCTGGTGTGGGACACGTGTACGGGTGAGTGGGGCACCAGGGTGCTGGTGTGGGACACGTGTACGGGTGAGTGGGGGTCTCTTATACACATCTAGATGTGTATAAGAGACAGTATCTGTACACTCTTGTCTAGGTATAGAATAGAAGTGTCGGCACTGAAGAAATAGGCCCATGGCCTGTTGCCGATTCTTGAACTTTTCGTGGCTTGATTCACAAGGGATCCGGCCTTTGGAACCCGATCTTTCCATAGCTGACGATTGATTGAGATAGCTGCTGGACTTATTGCCTGGTCCGTAATTTGCTAGGCATTTTAAGACTGAACATATGCTC